ATCCAGAATTTCCTTCTTAGTTTCTCAGCCCCCTCATCCTCCTTGCCATGGGGCACTTACCCAACTTATTAAGGACAACAGTGACCACAGCAGACATGGAGCCATTGGCCTGGGCCTGGCCCAGGCCTGCAGAGAAGCCATCCATTTGGGCACTGACGTTGGCCCGGCTACTGGCACAGATTCCAGGCATCCGGAAGGTTCCATGGGCATCAGTGATGGCCACAGTGCCAGACCAGTCTCTCAGGGAGACCCTGGCTCCTGGCAGTGGACGCCCAGATGGGGTGACCACCGAGCCCAGAAGGATGTGGTCAGGGCACCTGCAGGTCTTGGAGCTGCAGCCTGGGGGACACAGGGAGGCAGAGGGACAGGGGAGCCTCTTCACTCCCTCCTGGGGAGGGCCTTCCACAGCAAAGATGCCTAGACACCCCCCTTTGTGACCCTCAGAGGCCTCAGCATGATGCTGCTTGGAACAGCCCCTAGTATGAGTGGGGATATGGGGTTGAGTAGTCAGAACTGGGGCAGAGGGATGGGGGAAAATGCCCTGAAGGAGGGGACAGGAGAGGTGACTCTCAAAGGACAGAGAGGCTCCTTCCAGCATGAAAGAAAATGTCCAGCAGGGGCTGGGGGCCCCATTAGGGGTTGGGTCTTGGACTCAGAACATCTCCCTCCCCTCCCAATCCTGCGGTTTCTCCATAAAATGGAAAATTCCGCTGGAAACTTCAGGGCAGAGGCGTCAGGAGGGCAGAGCCAGGCGGGGTAGGGTGGGGACCCCACTACCCCATTGGCCACCGTGCTCCCCCACCCTGCCATGGGCTCTGCGGGCGCAGTCTCCAGACCATGTTTGTGGAGCCCAGGCTAATCGGAATTTCCAGTCGCCTCCTGGCTGGACTGGTGTCTGGCCCTGGGAGGGCTTGGGCATGGTGTCTGCCAGGGTGTGAGCGTGTGTCCGCGTGGGCGTGAGGGACAGGCGGGGGCTGCGAATGCCATGCGTGTGCATCCCGAGTGTATGAGCCTGCTTGTGTGTGTGTCCACGTCCAGCAGGACATACACACACTCGGCGGTGTACCCAAGGTAATGCCCACTTGGATCTGCACACGCCTGGACGCGATCCTCAAGGCGTCCACCCATCCAGATGTATACATTCACCAATGCTCCTCAGGGGCCCAGAAGGGAAAGAAGGGCCAGACCAAGTTTTGGCCCTCCAGGACCCGCCTCTTCCCTTCAAGCCCCGCCCCATCAGGCTCCATCCCAACCTGCCTCTTCCCTCTAGGTAGCCTTCGCTACAAGCCGCCTAGCTCCACATCCAGGCTCCGCCTCTAACCCAACACTTTCCTCCAGGCCCCATCCCTCCTACCTGGACATGTAGGGCGTACACACTTCTGAGCCTCCAGGGGACGCCCCGGACACGCATCCCCAGCCGGGCTTGGGCAGCGGCGGCGGCGCAAGCGACGGCCTGGCCCGCAGCTCCCTGAACAGGGACCCCACGGGCCCCACGCGCCCCACGTGGCCTCTGCGGTAAAGGCGGAGAGGGGGGAAGGTGAGGCGGCCGCCCACCTTTCCAGGGACTGCGCCTCCCTGCAAATCTGGTAACAATGTGGGACTGGAGGATGCCCCCCACCCCGCTAAGTTCATCAGAGGGTGGGTATCCCCCAGAGAGAGGCCCTGCCCACTGCCCCCATCGGTTCTCCTTCCGGTGTACCTGTCGAAGGCACAGTTGAGGTATCGCCCCACTTTCCCCAACCCCAGATAAGCTCCCCGAAGTTAGCCCTGCTGTTCTCCCTGCGTCCCTCACATATTTGGGGTCAAGACACGCCCCCACAGAACGGAGCTGTGACAGATTAGCAAATGAGGACAGCAGGAGGGAGATGAGTTCCTGGGGGCTCCTTCCCGTTCCCTACCTGGGCCCCCATTGGCAGCTCCTCCCCTCCAAAGCCCCGCCCCCATCTGTTCCTGCCGGCTCCTGGGGCTCTGCTGAAGGGCCCCGCCTCCTTCTAACCACGCCCACCCCAAAAGCCCTGCCCCCTCCTCTGTTACCGCCCATTCAGGCTCCACCCACCAATGACCCATCCCGGCCAATCCCCACTCTCTCCTCAGCATGACTGCTCTCGAGCCCGCCCTCTCCCCAGACCCGCCCGTCACCACACAGGCCCCGCCCCCTGGGCCCCGCCCTCACCGAGCGGGCAGCGGAATCGCACATGGTAGTTGGAGCAGCGGCGGCCGCGGGGCTGCTCACGGTTGAGGCACCAGAAACCTCGCGTGGGGTTCAAGTGCACACGCTCGCCTACAGTGGACGGCAGGGCCCAGTCCGTGGTGCGCGCCTCTAGCGCCAGCGGCCGCGGGCACACGCGCGCTGGTCCGTAATAGAAGCGGATGGCAGCCAGGCTCTCGAAGTCGCCATCGCCGCCGGGGTGGTCCACGTTGAACCAGGACGTCCACTCGCTGGCCTCTGCGGGCACCGCACGCGCTGGGACCCGGGCCGCAGCCTGTCGGGCCCCATCAGTGCACACAGGGGCCCGGGAAGCTGCCTGCCCACCCCCATCTCCGAGGTAAGGGCCTTACCCTGCTGTCTAAAACGGTCACCCCACCCCCAATGAGCACGGGCTAACCCAGCCCGCCCATGACCCCGCCAGGATCCAGGGTTCTCTCGGGCAGAAGGAGCTATAAAGGGATCCCGGGAGGTTGGCCTCCCCTAGCACCAGCCCCAGTTCTGCCCAATTCTTGAGCTTGCCCATCTGTGCAGGCTGACATTTTGCCACGCTGACATCTTGCCACTGTCTGACCAGTCCCCAACCTTAGAATTGAGCTGCCCCCCATCTCAGAATTCAGAACCCCTGAGGTGTGAGGAGGTACAAGGGCAGCAGGCTGAGACCAGCCCTAGCTGTAGCTTTCCGCCGCCTAGCCATTCCAGGTTAGAGCCAGCTGGGCCCTTGCTCACTGCCTGGCTGAACCCATCACAGAAGTCACAGGTGGGAAGGGTCTGGCCTCCCAGAGGTCAGATTCGGCTTCCATCAAACACTCCCCCTCCCAGGGGGTGCTCGCTCCTTTCCTGACTCAAGAGTGACTTTCCCAGCTAGGAAACTAGAGACCCAGGTTCCAGAACTAGAGGTCTGGAATCTATTGGAAGCACCCTGCACTGATGCTTCCAGTAGGGGGGAGGAAGTACCCCCCATACACCCTACATTGGTTTCCTACTTGACAAAAAGCCTGAACTCTCACCCCTTTGCTCCTAAAATTTAGACCTCTTGGGACACCTATGCCAGGGGCCACCATGTCCAGGGACCAGGATGGTACTGGACCCTTCTACCCCGTGTATCCCCTCCTCACATGACCACACCAGCTAGAGCTCGCACAGTGAGTCCACAGCAGAGTCAGGACTTGGACCCAGGTTGACTCACCTTCCCAGTCCTCCAGGGCTGGCGAGGACTGTCCAGGGCGCAGTGATGGACCTTCAAAGCCCCAGGCAGTTGCTGTGGGCTCCTCAGGGGGGGTGGTGACTGTGGAAGGGGTGAGGAGCGGGGCGGGGGGGGAGAGGGGGGAAGGGAGCATGCTGATGGGGACTTCTGTGAGCTCCTTCTATGCAAGGTGCTGTAATGATCCATGATCATCCCCATTTCACAGGGAAGAAAATTGAGGCTCTGAGAAGCCAGAACGTAGCTCTGGCTGACCCCAAGGAATGCAGGACCTCCCCTTCCCCTTCTAGGAAGCCTCCCTGTGACCCCTACCCCCAATCTCCTGCCACCCCATCCTTCCCTCTGACCTGGCCCAGATACCACGGGCTGGGGAAGTCTGTGTGTCTCCTTTGCTCCCCAGACTCAGTTCTCCCCGAGGGTACTCAGTGGCCATGAGCTCAGTTGGCTGTGCCTCTGCCCTCAGGTTGAGCTGCATTCTCCTTCATCCATTTGCTGGCTGGAAGTCCCTCCCTCAGTGTACCTTCCATCCCTTCACTTGGGGCCCAATCTGCCACTGGGAAGTCTTTGGAATCTAGCCTGGCTTCTCGGACCTTGAGTTATCTAAGATAGCCAGTCTGCACCGTGACCTCAGACAAGTCCCTTCCCTGTCTGTCTCAGTCTCCTCATCTGAGAAATGGATCCAGTGCCCTCTCCACTGAGGGGGATTCTAGAGATGGAAATTTTTCTGAATGGTATGTGTGTGGAGGAGGAGAGGAGTTATGTGAGAGGGGATGGCTCTGACCCCTTAATCCTGGTCCAGGACCAGGTGCTTCAGGGCTGAGACAGGCCCCCTGTGTTCCCCCCGGGAACCCAAGGAGCCTAAGGTTCATATCCATACTCCAAGTGCCCCTACTTCTCTTTGAGGAGGGAAAAGAACAGAGAGGTTTCCTCTCCTCCCCGCGTTGTTGGTCCCAAGGACCCATCTCCCCGACGCCCCCTCACTCCACTCCCGGGCTGACGAAGGGGGACCCAGGCCTGCGGATGCGAGCGGATCCCTCGGTTCTCTCTTTGGGAGCGGCTGCGAGCCAGGCAAGCTGCCAGGGCGCCTAGGGGTCTGGGCTGGGGTCAGGGGGGCGCCTCACCTCGAGCCCCCGCCAGGTGCGCGGCGGCGACAAAGAGGCAGAGTAGTGGCAGCAGTGACTCCATGGCCGGGTCCGAGCGTCCGAAGGAGGGTCCGGGCTCCGCGGCGCGCGCAGATCTGACTCCCGCGGGTCTGGCGGCCGCTGGGGTTGAGGGTGGGGGCGGGAGGTGACCGCAGGCCACGCCCCGTCCAGGCCACGCCCCGTCGGAGCAAAGCTCCCTGGCCCGGGGTGACTTCGGTGCGCTAGCAACCTCTCCGGGTCGCCCCCTTCGGTGCGTCCGGCTGTGCCTCCGCCCTCAGGCTGGCCTGCGTCACTCCCCCCCACTCCCCCGTCGCCAGCTGGAAGTCCCTCCCTCAACCCACTCTCCATTCTGCACCTTGGGTCCCAAGCTGCCTGTGGGACGTGCCTCTCGTGGACTCGAGCCTGAAGCTGCCCAAACACTCACGCTTTAGGCAGCCCTTTAGGCGGCGAGAAATCCTCCATCGGGTCTAACTTCAGTCCTGTTGGCGTTAGGCCACCCCGAGCAGGCTGGAAGTCCCACCCTGAGTCTACCCTCTACTCTTCTGGCACTAGTTTTCTCGGCCAGCGGGAAGTCCCACTCGACGACTACCCTCCATCCCTCCGGCCTGGGCGCTGGGGGACGGTGGCAAGTCCCTTCCCGAGTTTGCCCACCCGGGCGGCGAACCCGGCGCACAGAGAAGGAGGAGGCGAGGTGGTGGTGGGACGTCTGTTTATTGGCGCGGGTCCAAGCCGCCAGGACGCGGGTGGCGGTCACAGCGCCGCGACGCAGTCGGTGCCCGTGTATCCCGGCAGGCGCAGAGCGAACTTTCGGCGCACGTCGTCGGGCACGAACCTGCCGGCCACGAAGTGGTGGCGCCCGGAGAAGCGGCCGGCGCAGCGCTTGGGCGCGGCGAGCGATACCAGCACGTCTGGCCGGAGCCCATCCTCGGTGTCGCCGCCACCGGTCTCCGCGTCCCAGCCTGAGGGAGGAGGGGCGGGAGGGAGAGGGAATCGGGAGCTGGGAGGGGTGCTTGCCTTCAGACGAGAGAGACTTGCCGCCTCACCGCCCACTTCCCCTTCCCCATCAGACCCAGCCTCTGCTCTCTGACACGTGAGTCTTGGTCAGACCTGCCTCCCCACAGAACTGGGCCTCCACCTTCAGACCAGTGTCTCCCCTTCTTTGGAGATGTTTCCCTCCTCCTCTGACCAGAGCGTCTGTCTTCATACTTTTCTGCCCCTGCTCCCATCATGCTACTAATTTTTCTCCTCTGACTCAGCCTCTGCCTTCAGACTACATTTCCACTTGCTGCCCTTTCCCAGTCAGACCCATGCCTCTGCCTTCTGACCCAGCATCTGTCCCCATTACTCCCTCCCTATCAATCTTGAGCTTTCCCACTTAGACTAGAGCCTCCTTCCACCCAGGCTTCCTAGCTGCCTTCCCCCTCTGACCAGATCCCCACTGTCCTTTCAGAGGACAGACTTGCCCCCATCCTCAGGCAGTCTTCCCCCATCAGATCTGTCTCCTTACTCCTGGTCCTTGACTCCAACAGAACATGGCCTGAGCGTTCATCATCCTCACCCAACCTGAGTGTTCATCATCCTCCTTCTGACTAGAGACTCTTCCCTCTGACCTGACATCTCTGTCTTCGCCCTCGGACTAAATCTTGCTTTTTGACTTGACGCCCTCCCTCACTGTGCCCTAGCCTCTACCACCTCTCAAATGAGCCTCTACCTTCAGACTAGGGGTCTTGCCTTCTCCCCTGCTTCTGACCAGAGTCTGGAGCCACTAACTAAAAGCCTCCTCCCTCTGACTTTAATCCTTCCTTCTGTGACCCTAGTCTCCAGCCTTGGACCAGACAGCCCATCTCTTCATAGCTAACCCCCTGCTCTGTGGCACCCTGCTGGGATGGCCCTGAGGTCTTGCAAGCTGGGGGATATCCCTCTGAGTGTGGCCAGCCCCGTGGAGGGTCCGGCTGGCCATGGCCAGCAGCTGTTTGTTCCGTCTGCCCGTCGCCTAATGGCTCCAACAGGCGTGGGGCGGCGGCCAGGATGGGTGAGGCCTTTGCCGAGTGAGCTCACGTCTGCCCAGGCAACTGGGCCAGGGTGGGCAGCGGGCATGTTGGGCTGGGTGTTGGGCGGATGGGACAGGGCATCACCTGGGCAGCAGCCTCGGTCTTCCCTATCTGAGGGATGGACATGACCCTCACCCAGAGTGCATGAGCCATCCATGCTAGGGAAACTGAGGCTCGGAGACAGGCTGGCGCCACCAGAAGCTGGGGTGCAGAGGGCCCCCCCAAGCCCCCAACATGCCCCCCCTCCTGCCCGGCATGCCTGAGGGAATGTCCAGGCTCACAAGGGGGATGGACAGCAGCTTGAGTATGGCCAGCGTCCGCGTGCAGGGGTCCCCGATCTCCCCCGGCTGCACGCCAGGGCCCAGCACAGCGTCCACCACCAGCCCGTAGGCATTGTTGATGAGCTGGACCTGAGAGAGCAGGCAGGGTCAGGGGGCGGCCTTTGGGCACTGTCCCCCACTTCCCCCCTCATTTGCCACCAAGCTCTGACCTCCGTGGGCAAATAGGACAGGAAGGGGATGTCCATCTTCTCACACTGGGTGGTCAGGTCCCGGTGCAGCAGATCCAGTGAGCGTGTAGGGTAGAAGATGGTCGGTTCGTACTCCTGGTGGCGGGGGGGGGGGGGGGGGCGCAGAAAGGAGTCAGCACTGGGGCCCCTTTCAGGCTCCCTGCTGGGCCTTAGCCCCCTGACCTGGATACCTGGGGCAAGCACTGGGCTTATTCTGTAACCTCTCCAGCCTCAATGTCCCCCTGGGACACTATCAAGAGGAGGGAGCAATTTCTGTGGGGACAGGGTTGAGGGGGTGACCCTAGGAGGCCAAGGGGGTCCTTGCTACTCACAAACATCTGCAGGTGCCGGGCACAGACCAGCCCCACGGCCCCGTTCTGCTCCGGGCCACACACGACCAGCACTGTCCTCTGCTTCCGGGAGAGAGTAGGCAAGGGGAACACCTGGCAGAGGGCACAGCAAAGGCAAAGGCATGATGTCTGGAATTCCTCCTTGTTTGGGTGGGGAAACTGAGGCCTGGAGTAGCAGAAGGGATGGGCACGGGCCTAGAGGCAATAGAACAGGAGGACAGGCATTCTGGGCAAAGGGCATGGCCTCTGGGGGCCTCAAGTTCCTCCTTGGAGATGCAGAGTCCCTGCTTCAGGCTCTGCCAAGCTGGAGCAGGAAAACGTGCCTTCTGCCACCACCCGGTGCCCAGAGTGCGGTTTGTTTATTCTCGGCCTGAGTTGCAGACATTCTTCCACCTTTTTCCACCGCAGTGGCTGCCCCCTCCCTCGCCCATGTTTCCAGGGCTCAGCCCCTCCTGGAGGCCCCAAAGCGGGGGGGTGGGGGTGAGGGGGTACTTTTCCAACCCAAGATGCCCTGTCTCTCTCCATCTGCCTCTGCCATCACCTGTCTTCTCTGTATCTCTCTGTCTGTGTCTATCCCCCCCATCTGTCTCTCTGTAGTCTTTCTGTGCCTGCATTTCTGTGTCTCTCTTTTTCTCTGTCTCTATCTCCCAGACTCTGTGTCTCTGGGCCTGTGCATCAGTCTCTCTCTCTCTTTTTTTTTTTTTTTTTAAGGTTTTATTTATTAATTTGAGAGAGAGAGAGCACATGGGAGGGGGGAGGGTCGGGAGGGTCAGAGGGAGAAGCAGACTCCCTGCCGAGCAGGGAGCCCGATGTGGGACTCAATCCAGGGACTCCAGGATCATGACCTGAGCCGAAGGCAGTCGTTTAAGCAACTGAGCCACCCAGGCGCCCCTCTTTTTTTTTTTTTTTTAAGATTTTATTTATTTATTTGACAGAGAGAGACACAGTGAGAGAGGGAACACAAGCAGGAGGAGTGGGAGAGGGAGAAGCAGGCCTCCTGCAGAGCAGGGAGCCCGATGCGGGGCTCGATCCTAGGACCCTGGGATCATGACCTGAGCCGAAGGCAGACACTTAACGACTAAGCCACCCAGGCGCCCCTGTGCATCAGTCTCTTTAACACAGGAGTTCAGAGCACTGGTGTTCCAGCCGCAGCCCTGCCCTGACTCCCTGTATGGCCTCAGCCCCCTCTCCTCTCCCAGCCTCCCTTGGCCTCTATCAAATGGGAATGACAATGGCACTGACAGGGTCACAGGGCCTCTCTGAGACCAGGGGCTCCAGGGGGCCTGTCTGTACCCTAACTTCCAGCTACGCAGAGGGCTTAGTATTTCTTTGTCTCCTCCTCAAGTTCTCAGTGAGGTCCTGCCCCACCCCGAGGGCACCTGCAACCCCATCATGCCAGGCCCAGAGCCCGAGACTGGAGACCGGGGGGAGGGCAACAATATCTGGGCTGGCTGGGACTGAGGGCCTTCTGGACAGACTTGGGGCTTTCAGGGCAAAACCAAACGACATTCAGTCAGCAAGGGCCAGGCAAGTGTTTACTATGTTGGATTTTGGGGCTTTGATGGTCATCATTTCCTTCTCCTGCAGGAGCTTCACTCAGGATATATTTCATTTGGAAATAGGAACGTGAAAAAAACAAACAAACTGAGCCTACATAAAGAAATTGTTTAACAAAAGTCTGCAGTGGTGACAAGAAGAGGAGGAAGAGAAAGGTTACGTCCTGGAGCCCTGACGCCATCAGGCACTTCTCTAAGACATTTGTGTTTATTGACTGCTGTCAGTTTATTACACTTGCTTTGGAGGAGGAAACAGGCCCACAGTTTGACAACGTGGCCAAAAGCACTGGAAGGCAGCATCATCATTGCTTATTACTCTCGCGTCTCTTGGAGACACCTCGAAGCTGGGGCTTTGCCCTGGATCCAGACACAGCTCTGCTTATTTACCCCCTGGGACCTACCCTTTGGCAGGCCACTCCCTGCCTCTGGACCTCAGTTTCCCCATCTGCAGCATGGGGTTATTTGGAGGTACTCAGCCTGCAGGAACTGATGTCTCCCTTACTGAGATCCAGGAGATGGCAGAGGCGGGTGGTCACAAAGGGCCCCAGGAGCATCCTGCAGTAGCCTGTCTCTGCTTCCCAGCCTCCAAGTCTTTGGGGACTCCTATCTCTGCCCTGACCCTCACTGACACCTAGGGTCTTGGGTCCCTGCCTGGTCTAGACCAGTGATGAGCCTCTCTAGGCCTGTTTCCCCATCTGAATAATGGGCTGGAGTAGCTCCACACAAGAAAAGGGGATTCTTGAGTCCTAGACCATTTTGGCCAGCCGGGTCATGCAGCTAGGCCTCGGCTCTGGTGGGCTGGCCATCTGGATGGGGTCAAGGTCAAGGTTCAGGGGTCAGATACCTTGGTCACAGCCACAGCACTAGCATGGCCACACAACTCCACCAGCTGCTGCCGCCCAAAGCGATAATCCTCCAGCAACTCCCGCTCCAGGGCGGCCGCCTCGGCAGTGCTAGGGGACAGAGTGGGGAGAGACGCTCAAAGACACAAAGAGAGAGACTTAGAGAGGCTCAGATGGAACCAGTAACATTCCACCAACGTTCCCAGCCAGGCCCTAGCGCCACCCCCAACCTCAGTTTCTCCATTAGACGTGCATGCGGTTGAAAGGAGCTGCAGAAGGTTTAAGCTGAAGCCCAAGGTACGGGCGCCCTCTGGTGGTGAGGAACGCGTGGTGGCGCACGTTGGTTCTACTGTCCCAACGCGGGGGGAGACTGGAGCCCCGCCCAGATTCGCCCATCCCCACCGCGGGAAGAACCCAGAAGGAGGAATGGGCGGGAAAGACTGATGACGGTGATGGGCGAATTTCATGCAGGGGAAAACACTGAGCAAGCTCCAGAACACTGGAGGGGGCAGACTGGGCTGGGGGAGGAGGTGCCTGAGGGAGGTGGATTTTGAAGGCTGCAGAGGAGTTTGATGGCTCACTTAGGGAGGTGGATGTGGAACCCACAGCTATCAGACCTATTGGTGACCCTTCAATAATTGTGGCAAGAGAGATGGGATTTACTCATTTGAGGTGAAGGTCTGCCATCAACTCCCTGAGTGACTGGGATCTGTCACATCTTAGTTTTGCTTCCTCTTTTGCAAAAGTAAAGTCCGCGAAGGTTTAGATAAATTTCAAGGCCCATTTCAAAATGCAAACACGGGCCCCATTATTTAAGAATTTTAAGATAATGACAACCAAGTGTTGGACTCTTCCAAAAGCAGGGACCAAGCTAGCCCTGGCTTAGGGGCTTCCAACGGGCATGGGCTGTAGTGGCGGCAGAGAAGGAGAGCTGGCATTGAAGATCGGAAATGGTCCCCCAGAATCAGGGGTTGGGGCAGCTGGACAGGGTTTAGGTCCTGATGCTAGCTTCCCCTAGCGGGACTCTTTCCTGCTGGGGAAGAGCACCTACCCCCAGCTCAGCAGACCCTAGAGATCATAGTAGTAGCAACAGAACCAGGCCCAGAAGAATATTCAACCACTCAGAGTAACCAAGTGGCTTGCCCAGAGTCATGCAGGAAGCAAGTGAGAAAACAGACTTCTACCCTTGGTGTCTGTTTCCAGAGCCATACAGGGTGTGAGCAAAGAAGCAGAGGCAGACCTACAGATAGCAGAGGTTTCCTGGGGTGAATCTTTAGGTTCCTTCCTTCAATTCTGCGAGCAAGAGACCACAACCTTCTGGCCAATTTTGCAGCAAATCAGGCCGGGGCAGCAGGAGGGGCATAGGTAAGGAATGAAGACTGCTGCAGGAGGGGGGAATCAGGGATGGCTTCCTGGAGGAGATGGCCTGGAGCACTTTGGGAGGTAATCCAAGTGGAAGAAGAGTGAGGGCCAAGGCCCTGTAGTGGGAATGGGCTTGGCAGACTGAAGGGACAGAAGTGAGGCCACTGTGGCTGGAGCCAAGCAAGGGAAACTGAGAAACTGGGTCAGAAAGACACTTTGGGGGCCCACGCACATGGGGGAGATGGAGGCTTAGGGCAGGGAGGACACATGCCCTGAGTCACCCCAGCAACCAGAGCCAGATTCAACCCCAGCTGACTTCAGATAAGGTTGAAAGACCAGCTGGGGAAAAGGAGCTCACGGTGGGGCAGATGAAGAGCACTCCCTGGGCAGGCTGGCGCGGCTCCCAGGAGAGAACACTGGAGGAGAAGGTGTGTTTGGAAATGTGGCTCATTCCTCCACCTTCATCTGTGACAGCTCTGGCTGCTGCCCCCACAGGAGGGTGAGGGGAAGATGAGAAGGGTGGGAGGAATACCCATTCCTCCTCTTCTTCCTCTGTCCCAAAGCTTTGGCCTCAGGCCACCACTTGGAACATTATCTTCCTGCCTAACTGGTCATTAGAGTGATAATGGGGAGGATGGTCCCAGCTAGGAGCCTGGGGGTAGGGACACTGGCAGCTCTAGGTGGGGTCTGAGTGGGAATCAGGGCTGGTGGGGGAGGGGGACAGGGCAGCGCCACTGTGGGACGGGCCAGAGGTGGGGGGCTCAGTTACGATGTGCCTCTTGCTTCTCCCGATGTCAGTCCCCAGATGAGAGGAACTGCGAGGACCAGGATTTCCCCGAGAGCACAAAGGCTGAGGTGACCTGCTTTCAAAGGAACTGGGCCTGTTCTCCCAAAATGCTTCCAGGAGCGGGCTCTTTTGGACGTGAAGCCCTGGAGCCAGGCTGCCCATGCCAGACCCTCCCTGCTCTCTTGGCTCTATCTGCTTCTGACCTTCAGGCCTCTGCCCACCAGCCCACCATCATTGCTCACCTGGCTGCTTAAAACAGTCTGATGGCCCCCAAACTCCTCCTCAACACAAGAGCCATGGGGGCTTTGAAAACTTAAACGCCAGATCGCATCGCCACTTGTCTCAAACCTGCTTATGGCTCCCCAATATTCAGAGAATATTCAAATTCCTCACCACACCTACGCGCCCATTGTTTCTAACCTCATTGTCTCCTTGCTTGCGCATTCCACTCCTACCCACCCCAGTGCCCATCACTCCTCAGTTGGCATTTGAGACGCACCATCCCCCACGCCAGGTGAAATCAGCTTCAGCTCTCTTCTGTCAAGGATGTGTTGGGTCTACAGACTCAATCTGAACATCAGCCAGTCACTGGACAATATCTGCCCGGAGGGCCTGAGTGGATAGTGGCCAGAGGAGGCCAGACAAGGGGATATCAGATGAATCTGGTTTACACTGAGGTCCACAGCCCTGCTTGGGGTCCCAGATCACAAAATAACTCAGGATGAGGTGGGAGACACAGCCACAGCTGCCAACTCCAGACCCCAAATCCAATCAAACTACTGGCAAGTGGCCCACATATTCAAAAACCCCAGCCTTGGCTCAGACAGTGGTTTCCCAACCCAAGCCTCAGTTTCCTTCCCTGGTCAAGGAGATAGTAGCCGGTGGGCTACCAAGGGGAACGAAGGGTGGGAGCTTCCAGGGTTCCAAGGACAGATGGAAAGGGGAGGTGGGCCTGGATTGGGTTGAAGGGTGATGGGAGAGCTACTAGCGGTGCTGCTGAATGATTCACTTAGGGGTGAGCCCCAGGCGGATGCAGTTTCCCTGGGCAACGCAGCTTAGAAGGCACTGGTAGCAGCAGGCTGCAGGCTTCGTCTCTCCAGGGAAATGCGGGTGGGCCTCAGGACCCCTCAGGCCCCATCCTGGCCATGCCCCTGCCTCTGATCCATCCTGCCCATGAGACCTCCTCCCAGCCTTGCCCTGCCCATGATGCCCCCGGCTCCGGGCTGCATCTCTGCCATGGGCTTTGGCATCCCCATCCCTGGCTGACCTGAGGAAACGCCGCTCCTCGGGCGCCTCCGCTGGGTCCGGGCGGGCCGCGCTGCTCATGGCCGAGGTGAGCCGGTGCCCAAGGCCCGGCGGCCACAGCCACAGCCTTTTAAGAGCATCCCAGGGTACCGGGGCCTCCTCCCCTCCCACCCTGTGCTTCCGCCAATCAGGCGGCGCCGCGAAGGCGCTGCGCGCAGTCATTGGCTGGCGGGCGCAGGCAAACTTAACCCTCTCGTGCCAGGAGTGGAGCTGCCTTGGGAACGGAAGGAAGCCAGACAGGTAGCGACCCCCGTAACGGAGTCCTGGCCTGGGAGCAAGGGGACACGCCTCCGGTGCCCCTCCATCCCACGCTCTGCTTTTTAGGTTTCCCACTCACTGATGTGCTCAGGGTGCAGGGCTGGGGGGGAACCCCAGCCTGGAGGGGTGGGCTACTGACAAGGAGGGTTTCGAGAGAGGTAGGAAAATCCAGGCATATTTGTGAGCCAAGGCTGATGCATCCAGGCGCAGTCTCTGGGTATGTTTTATGGCCACCCCTCCTGGCATCTTCTGCAGAGTCCCCAGGTCTAGACCCTACGTCACCAGGCCACGTGTAACCCCGTGGTGCCCCACGCGCAGGTCACTCAATCACTGGGACACAGGCAGGCAGGTCTCCAGAGCATTTATTCTTTCCCAGTGGGGAGGGTGTAGGGGGTCCAAGTGGTCCGAGGGGAGCAGGCCCCTACATGTACCACATGAAGCCGTAGGTGGCATCGAGAATCTCCTCATTCGTGCGCAGCCCATAGAGCTCGCCCATCATGGGAGTCACCCAGCGCGTTGTGTGGAACACAGACTCACCCACCTGTGGAGACAGAGGAATATGGGTGGGGGTGCAGCTACCCCCTCAGGCCCACACTACCTCCTGGGACCCCACTAGGCCTAGTGGCGACTCTGTCTACACCAAAAGCTTCTGCCTTCTCCTCCTCATGCCTGGCCCCCACTACTCCTCTCAGCCACAGGTTTCCCATGGTGCCTGTGTTTCTGCAGTGGCCTGGACCCCCACGCTCCCTGCCCAGGACCCACCTTCCAGTCAGGCACATCCTTCATGATGATGGCCTCCTCCTCCAGGTTCTCTCGAAGCATCTGCAGGACCCTGTGGGGTGGAATGGAAGGTGAGGGACAGGCCTGAGCACCCCGAGGGACCCCTGCCTAACAGACCTGCCAGGACCCTCCCTGTTCTACTCCCCATCACCTCCTGCCACTTCCAACCCTGCACATGCTGACCCCTCTTGTCCCTTCCCCCCTACAAACTTCTACTGTCCTCCTGCTGCAGCCTCAATGTCTTCTCCTTCAGGGAGCCTTCCCATTCTGTCCCTCGGGTCCCCACTTTAAGTCAGTTTGGGGCCCTCTCCAAGGGTGACAGCAACCCCACGTATGCAAGGACACAGCTGTCAGTCCCCACGTGCATTCTGGCCAGGTCCTGCACTGCAGGATGGGACACTCAGGCCTGTGACCTTCCACCCCTGGTCTCAGCGGCCCCACCTCCGGTCCTTCTCTGCCTGCAACAGCGGCATCAGCGCGATGCGGGCCTCGAAGTCCTCGATCTGCAAGCGCCTGTGAACCCCCCAAACCAACAGATTAGATCAGGCTGGAGCTGGGGTAGATGACGTGGCCTTAGAGCCACAGGGTGAGCATGGGGAAGGGGGCTGGGCGAGAGGCAAGTGAGCGGGGCAAGGCTTGGGCAGTAAGCTCTACCTGCCAGAAAATGGGAAACGGGGCGGGGGGGGGGGGGCACACAGGTGGCACAGGCACTGGTCCACAAGACTGCTGGCTTCACACTTTCTTTTTAATTAAAAACTTTATTTCTTAATCCTAAAAACAGCCCTGGCCTGATGATTGTGGTGAACTGGGGATGGGGGATGGGACCTTTATCACAGGGCTCTGGGCCTTATAAAACCACATCCTCTTCATGTCAAAATAACGTGGGGTGTGAGTCCAGGGCAGGCAGTTCTGTCTCTTTGAGCCACCAGCCCCATTCACGCTGGGGGAGCGGCACCCAGTGATGTGGCCACGCAAGTGGCTCCTCATCGCTAGGAATCTCAGCCACACAGGGAAGGGTCTGGATGAGCAGCCCCACTCCAAGCCGCTGCCCCCACCACAGCCACACAGTTGTCACTACTGTGCCCATCTCTCCGCGGGTGCTCCCAGGAAGCCGGACCTGGTCTGAGCGTACTCAACGTCCAGTACCTGACACATGCCGGCTGCCTTCAGCACTACCCTCCGGTATTCCCAGACTTGTGGAGGGCAGGTGAGCTCAAGGGGGGTGCTAAGGACACGTAACACAGGGTGGGGTGGGGCAGGGCAGACGGGCTCAGCCAGTAAGGGGTCAATGAGGAGGGGTCACCAGGCAGGGCATCAGGCCAGCTTAGAGGCAGCCAGAGTCTGAATGGAGGCCACCATCTGCCTTGGTGCCTAAGGCCCCATGTGGCTGGCACGACCATTGTCTTGCGTGGCCTGTTTCTAAGCCCTTACTGTCCTCACTGCCTGGTTACCACTGACAAAAACCCACTAAGAGAGGGCGCCTGGGTGGCTCAGACAGTTGAGCGTCTGCCTTTGGCTCAGGTCATGGTCCCAGAGTCCCGGGATCGAGTCCCGCATTGGGCTCCCTGCTCCTTGGGAGCCTGCTTCTCCCTCTGCTTCTCTCTCTCTGTCTCTCATGAATAAATAAATAAATAAAAAATCTTAAAAAAAAAAAAAAACCCACTAAGAGAGCATGTTCTGGGTCTGCCCCTCCATGTCCACCTGATGGGCTGTCCTAATCCAGACCTTCAGGTCCCTAGCAGCAGAGGCCAAGGGATGCCCAGTGAAGAGCTGCTCACTTATGAGTCCTTTCTTGAGTGGAAAGTTCAGAAATGGACTCAGTCCAGGTCCATACTCCTTGGGTCTTGAGGGGTTGACAAAGGGCCCCAGTGGACACCAGGTGCACTCCCGCCCTCAGCAGCCTGGGGCCTGGGGCCTACCTGCGCTCGCGGTTCCACTTCATCATGCTCCAGTACCCGAAGAGCAAGGTCCCAATGCCCACAGCAAACATGCTGTAGCCTGTGGGGAGAGGGGCCACCAGCTCAGCGCTTACTTACCCTTGGGACAGGCCACCCCTTGTAGTTTCTTCTCGTGAAGTATTAAACCACTTGCCGTGCAAATACACCAGAAATATTGATGCGGGAAAAGGTGAAAGTCTTAGTGACCCCCTCCTAGAGATGGCCAGTACTGTCTCTAGTGCATATTTCTTCAGATTATTTTTTTGTCCCTGTGGAATGTCCACCGGCCCCTTCCCTTGGACCCCCTCCTCCGAAACTGCAGACCACTCTTTATTCTGTTCACCTACCCTGCAGGCAGGGACACCAGGCTGCCTCAGCTTTTCTCTGACAAGGGAGGTAGCTGCAGCTGCCACACCTCTGCCCCCCATGCCACAGTTTCTAGAAGGTACAGTCTGGGCAGGGACTGCAGGAGAGCCCGAGGGTCTTGCTGTTTATGGTTGGGGGGCCCCAGCCCCACAATCTTCTAGAAGGTTGTTTGGTTCCCAGTCAGAAGGTGCTTCCATGGGGAAGGATGGTGTCTACAGCTGGGTCCAGCTCCATGGTGGCTCCTGGCTGCCTGGGCCACTTCTCTGAGTGCTGCCCACAGGGGGCTGGATGGGGCTGCCACAGGCAGGCAGTGCCCTGCAGGGCCCGCCCAGCCACCCCTGGGCTCCCTGGGGTACTGCCTCCTGGCCCAGCAGATTAAGCCCCCTGCCTGGGCACCAGGGGACAGAGGCTGCCATGAATATTTACTGACACCAGCAGGCACCTGCGCTGTAATTCTGACTGACAGGCTGTGGGCCTGCTGCGGTCTTCAGGGAAGCCCAAGTTGCCTGCGGCCTGGTTGGGGCTAGCTCACCCCATACCCTCTAATCTTTTGAGCTGTAGTCTCTTCCCTGGACAGGCCTTGTGGTTGCCCGGAAAAACTGACAAACTTGGCCAGGTCGAGCTCCAGTTAACACCCAGTAAATGACCAGCAAATGGTGGGTGAGGCCACTCCCTAGGACTTGTGGGGGGCAGAGGGGCTCTGGGAGTCCCGGCCCTGCTCGCTGCCTGCAGGGGGCCTCTGTTGTCCCTGTCCTCATCTTTCTTCTTCAGCTCGATGCAGCACACGTTTTTTCTGGCATCTCTACTGGACCCAAAGATGCATGAGAAGCTGGTTAGATTTTTCAGCCCCTCAGTTAAACTTGTTAAAAACATTAGCTCAGGGCGCCTGGGTGGCTCAGTTGGTTGAGCGACTGCCTTCGGCTCAGGTCATGATCCTGGAGTCCTGGGATCGAGTCCCGCATCGGGCTCCCTGCTCAGCGGGGGGTCTGCTTCTCCCTCTGACCCTCTTCCCACTCGTGCTCTCTGTCTCTCATTCTCTCTCTCTCAAATAAATAAATAAAATCTTAAAAAAAAAAAAAAACAAAACATTAGCTCAGGAGCGCCTGGGTGGCTCCATTCGTTAAGCGCTTGCCTTCGGCTCAGGTCATGATCTCAGGGTCCTGGAACTGAGCCCCTGCATCGGGCTCTGATCAGCAGGGAGTCTGCTTCTCCTTCTCCCCTCTGTGCTCATGCTCTCTCTCTCTCTCCCTCGCTCTCAAATAAATAAATAAATAAATCTTAAAAATGCAAAACAAACATTAGCTCAGAGTAAGACACTTCCATGTTATAGGGGGCAGACAGCGAAGGCGCCTGGTTCCTATGCACAGAGGGAGAACCTCTCCCGAGAGGCCCGAGTGCCCAGAACCAGCTCCCAGCACAACTATGGCTCTTACACATGGCTGACCACCTGGGCTAGACAGGAACATCTTAGAAGAGCTGCCTCTTTCTTTTCAGTAGCTATAGAGAAGCCCAGGGGCCTCTTCTTTTGACTGGGCCCCAGGGCATAATCCTGGGCTATCCTCATGGAGACCCCTTGTCTTCACACCAGGCACTCACGTGTGGGCCCATGTGTAAGATAAATTCCAAGATAAAGGTGACCTGTACGAATGTACAGCTCTTTCTTGCTGACAGTGGTGAGGCTGAGAACCCAGACCCTCAGCGTGGGTCTGTGCCTCAGGAGCTGCC